CATTAAGCAGCAGTTTTCACTGAGTTTGTATTTCCCTTTTTTGCTATCATGCTTGCCATTTGTGAGGAAAAATAGGAATCTTAGTTTGATTAGCTTCAGTGTCTTTGGAATGGTCTTTGACTTCTGGATTTCTTTGGTTTTATGTTTTTTAATAGAAATATAATGCTGACTATGAACTCTCAGCAAAACAAGGGGCAGATACATTGGCTTACATTGCTCTCCTTGAAGAGAAGCTTCTTCCTGCAGTGGTGAGTGTTCCTTAACATTACAGTATTTTAGTGACTTACTTGAAAGTGTACTTAGTCTATGTAGAAGAAAAACAATGAAAAAATCTTAAGAGGAAATTTCACTTGTGTGTTAATCTTGATTCTTTCATATTTCTGTGAAACTGGATTTTCAACCAGTATGTGAAATAACAAAGTGAAAGATAATGTGATTTTGGAAATAAAAATTCTTTGTGGGAGATGGATGTTTTTGCTCCATGTATAGTATTGGGTGAACTGTAATTCATTCATTCCACAAATATTTATTGAGCACCTGCTATGTGCCAGGCCTTATTCTGGGTGCTTGGGATATAGCAGTGAACAGATCACACACATTTAAAATAATCTTGTTTTATCCTGAGTCATTCTAACTGGAAAATTTGTATGAAGTCACTTTATACAGAGATATTTATGAAAAACTTTCACATTGGTTGAGTGATCTTTCTTTTAATAAAAGAACATCCTTGTAGTGTTTTTTCTCTCCACTTGCAGCTTCACACATTCTGGGTTGAGAGTGACAATTACTTTACTGTGACAAAGCCATGGTTTGCTTCACGAATTCCTTTTCCCTTGAGTTTGATCCTGCCTGGAAGAATGTCTAAGGGGGCACTGAATAGGATTCTTCTGACCAGAGGAGAGCCTCCCCTGTACCACCTTCGGGAAGTGGAAGCACAGGTGTGGTCTGGGTTATTCTCCAAGCAAGGGTTCTCCAGAGAAGGGACAAGAGATAGTGGAAATGAACTTATGTAGAGATGCCTGCCTGATAGTAGTTTTAGAGCATCTTTCCTACTTTTGAGATGTAATTTCATCTTTATTAGATATACAGAGATGCCAAGGAGTGCCTAAATCTTCTGTCAAATAGATTGGGAACATCTCAGTTTTTCTTTGGAGATACGTGAGTACATTCCCTTAAAAATCATTTTGATATTTTGTGCACATATAGTCAATGAGCAGTTATTTAAAGCAGTCCTCTTGTCCCTTCAAAAGATGAGTTTTTCACTTAAAAAAATACTTTCTTAAAATGGGTTTTTATTATAGGAAACTTTTTCTATCAGTGGTAATCTAACATTGCCTTAATATGCTGCATATGTGAATTTAAAACATCTAAGACTGTTCCCACTCTGCCTCCAGTCTATTTAATACTTGTGGGTAAAGATGAATCTATAATTGACAACTTCATTTTCTTCTAAATAAAATAAGTGATTAGAGTATTAAATTACTTAATGAGTAAAACCCTAGTTGCATAATTTTCATAAACTAAAATGGGTAGTATACCTTTCAAAAGACTATATAGTATATTTCAGAATTGACAAATGTATTTTGAAAAACACTGTAAACACAATTCCAAGTTAATATTTTCTTAACTGCTTAAAAAAAATCCTTCATTTATTTCTAGGCCTTGTACCTTGGATGCCTATGTTTTTGGTTTTCTTGCACCTCTTTATAAAGTACGGTTTCCTAAAGTTCAGCTACAAGAACACCTAAAACAGCTTTCCAACTTGTGTCGCTTTTGTGATGACATCTTAAACAGTTATTTTAGGCTTAGTCTTGGAGGTAAGCTCGCTCTTCTTCAGATAATGTTTGTTTGTATATTCTCCTATACGTAGATAAGCAAAATTCATTACTCGTTTTAATTCAAAAAAAGTTTGTGTATTGTTTTTAAGTACTGTTTATAGCACTTCAAGAACTTGCATTTTCCAACTTCATTTTTATTCCCATGTATTAGTTCTTATTTAAATAGAGAAAGATATTTGCCTTTTATCTATTCCTTTGGATTTTCACATTTCTTCTTCTTTAAATATTGCCCCTTTGAAGTGGGTCATTTTCTTCTAAAAGATTAAAACTGCAGGTATTAAGTCCCCACTGAAAATAGTATTTATCCTAATGCAAATGGGCAATTACTTTAAATGATTCTTACCTGCTGCTTCTAGCATTTTCCTGCGTGAACAGAAATCAGCAGCAGATTGATTTTGGTGAGGTACACTCCCATGATTCCACTACTTGGAAACTGATTGCATCAGACTGGAGGTATAGTAAATAGAGGGCACCTGTCACTTAGGTTATGACTCTTTGAATGTGGGGTCTTGTGCTTAAGGGATACTAAATTGCTATTGAGAGAGTTGACTGAAATTGCCCTTCTAAGAAACAGAAGTTATAAAGATAGCTGGCTTAGGTGGACAGTTTATTTTTTTTATGGTGGGTTCTGTGTTTTTGTACGTAGGGAGGGGTTACTAGTTTGGTAGTCATGAAATTAAGTAACGTTCAACCTTGTTACTTTGGGCAATATTCAACAAATTTGACTACATGGCAAATAAAAAATCTTGCGTCCTATTTTAGACTTACTAAATTAGATAGATCCCAGGAGTCTGTCTTTTTAAAGTCCCTCTAAGTGCTTTGGATGTCTTGTGGGTAGCTGTTTGGGAGTCACTACCCTAGAAAGTTTTCCAAATAGTTGTGTCCAAAGACCTATTTGAAATGGGTGGGGGGAAAGATATAGCTTAAATTTGAGACGGAAATGAGGACTGCTGTGCTCTTTTACTAATTACTGTGGCTACCTGCATAACACTTGGCTGACACTGTCTTCTTAGTGGACCAGTTTTAGTCCTTTTATTTAGAATTTGGCTTTGGAGCATTACTATCCATCCTAACTTTGCCTTTGAACCTGAAGAGACTGGTTTTTTTCTCTGCCTTTTATTGGGAGGGTGGTGCACTTGTGAGGGTGAGTAGACTCAAAATTCTTTCAGTCTAAACAGCTTTAAAGGCTTTCACAATTTTCTGTCTCTAATTTCTGTCCTGGCTTCTTAGGCATCTCTCCAGCTGGACAAGAAACGGTAGATGCAAATCTGCAGAAACTCACACAACTTGTAAATAAGGAATCCAACTTGATTGAAAAGGTCAAGTTTACTTTAATTATTATTTTACAGTAGTTTAGTATTTTTCTTTCTGCAGCTAATATCATAATTTGGGTCATGCATTAACTTTATCCTTTTAGTTTTTTAAAGAGTTTACTTTTCAGAAAACTGTTTAAAAATACTTTAACTAAAGTTGTATATAACATAGTGTTTTGAAGCCAGTTGTGACATGATTGCTTTGGGGAAAGATTGGATAATGGCATTGGGTTTACTTTTACCACATAATTAGTACTTTTTAAGCCAGGAAACCCAAAAGATTGGCTTCCATAAAACAAAACAAAAATACTTCTTGCTTACTTGTCTGCCTTTCTCTGTCTCTGAAGGTTAACATTTCTTGAGATTGTAAGCACCTGGCTTCTCCTTTCTTATTAACAGCACCATGATGTCTTTTTCTTTCTTCTATATGAACTGTTTTATTTTTTTGTCCTTCCTGTTCTTCTGTGTTCTAAATGTAGTCTATAGTTTTTCACCAGTGTAGATATTTTGTCATTTTGGGGCTGTTCTTTTTTGTTTGTTTGTTTTATGTTAGTAGAGACAGGGTCTCACTATTGCTCAGACTGGTCTCGAACTCCTGAGCTCAAGTGACCCTCCTGCCTTGGCCTCCCAGAGTGCTGGGATTACAGGCATGAGCCACTACTCCTGGCCTGGGGCTGTTCTTTTCATGAGAGAGATATTGAGGGACTAGGTAGGGTAAGGGAGCCAACGATGGAAATTTCAAGGGTGATTCTAGTTGGAAAAATACAAGAGGGTTGCACATTTTTTCCCAAGTGTCTAATAAACTTGCTTTGTTTTGGGATACAAATGAATAATACTTTATTTTTCACCAACTAATGGGGCAATGAGGCCTAATAACATTGTCTAACAGTTTTTGAGGTCTGGTACTGTGTTATATGAGCTTTGTGTGGGTTATCATTTAAACCTCACAATAGCTCTATGTATGTGTGTACTATTATCTCCATTTTATAGATGAGCTTTGAGAGTAGCTTATGTCACCTGCCGAAGATCATTCAGCAAGCAAAAAGTGAAGGGGAACTGTGAACCCTAGAAATGGGACCTTTGCATGAGCTTTGCAGTTATTGTCTCCATCAGTCAGCCATCTAGCTCACGAATGAGAGTGTGTGTCCATTACTAGTCATACTAGGAGTCACGTGTATAGCGGTCATTCTCTGGTTTGACCTGTCTTCTTTTGGTAAAATTTCATGTGTTGTTACAATTTGAGAAGTGACTAAAACTGCTTAGTAAAATTGTAAGACTCCATTATTATTGAAGTTTTGGTAAATTGAGTTAAAGCCTAGTCTGTCTCAATTTTTAGCTCAATCCATGAAATTTCATGAGAGGAAATATATTAAATGTTAAGTATGGATAAAGGAAAGATCACTCATCTGCTAGATGAAGGCTATCCAATATGGTTTCCGTTTTCTATATTTGGCAAATTCATGACAGATTCGGAAAGGAAACTATGAAGTACTTACATGTGCAGAAGGCCAAAGCAAAAGGCCCTGTCACCACTTTGGACACTTCCATCTTGTGTCCTCATCAATATGAAAGTGGCCTGTCCAGTCAGGCACTCCTCTCCCTCTACCCCTGCTCGTTTGTACCTGCTCTTCAGCCGGGAGTGTGTGCTTCACTGTTTGCTACACGATGATGGAGCGACAGATCCTGTTGGCCACCATGTTCACAATTTGGACAGAAAATCTAGAGTTTAAAAAAAGAAGAGTTATGTTTGAGGAACTTAAGTCTTGCCAAAAAGAAAAAAAAAGACATCTTAACACAATTGATTTAAATAGTTCACTGGGAATACTTGTTTACCTTGGAAAATTAAAATTTAATCTTTTATTCTCTTTCATTTTCTACCCTACAAATCCTGTGTACCTCTGCTGAAACATGTCCTCTATACTTTAAGAGCGCCTTGAGAAGATAAGGGAGAGTTTAGAATGTTTCACACATATATAAAACTCTAAAAAAGCCTGCCCATCAAGTGGATAGTTAGGAGACTATTTTCTGTTGGTTTTGTGTTTTTGATGGCAGCTGCTTTGAAGTCTTTTATGAAGCTAAGCTGACAGTGAACTCAACACCAGGACCTGAATCTTACACTTTGTTTCTAGAATACCCTGGTTAAAGATGGTTTTCTAAGGTTTGATTCAGCTCTAAATAATCCCTATCCTAGTGTTTCCAGAGATGCTAATGTGCTTCTCTTTAGGGTAAGTCTGGATTTCTTGGGCATTTTCTTAATATGCTCCATATTAATTTGTTTCTCTAAGTTAGGCTTAGACTGATCCAGTATTTGGAAGACCTCTGGATTAGGTCTAAAGAATTTATCCTTCTTTCTGCCTCTTTTCCTAGCTTCCTTTGGTCTACATAGTCTCAGCTTAAAGGAGGTGGTCTTTTTGAATAGAGTATAGGTCATTTTCATTGAGGCAAAGAAGTCCAGTTGAAAGAGTAATAGTATTGGAATAAGAAGACCTGGTTTCAAGTTTCAGTTCTCATACTAGTTTTGTGACTTGGGGCAAATCACTTAACATTTCTGAGCCTTGTTTTGCTAATCTGTAAAATGGGGAAGGACTGTTTCTGCCTTTCCTTCTTCATAGTGTTTTGGGAAGATCAAATGAAGTATTGTACATGAACATACTTTGTGAACTGTAGATCTTAGTGCAATAGAAGTATTGCTTTTACTCTTACTATTAAAAGAGTTCTTAAACTAAATCATGCTATGGTTGAGTTCAGTAGAATATTCATTTTGTGTAATTACTATAATTTTGTGAAGGTATCAAGATGAGCCATATTGCTTTTTACAGATACTGAGTCAGCTGGTATTTGAGGTATGACATTTAAAATTCTTGAGAGATTATTTGCAAGAAAAAGGTTTCTCTGGCAGTCCCGGAAACATAGGTTCTGTACTCTTCTAGGCTATAGTTTGGATGGGGAGGCCACAGTCCACGTAAGTGGTGCCACAGCATTAGTCAGATGTATCCTTTGTACTTTCTACAGATGGATGACAATCTTCGCCAAAGCCCTCAACTTCCTCATCGGAAACTGCCAACACTTAAATTGACTCCAGCAGAAGAAGAAAGTAATTCCTTACAACGGCTATCACCCTGACAGTCCTCGTGCTTTGTGGCAAAAGTCATGTGATTGTTGCAGGAATCTCTTACACCAAGTGTGTGAAGACAAAAAGAAAATATCATAATAGGTGTAAGGAAGACTCTAAAACAAAAGGAACTCTCTATGACAGCTATTTTTTTTTTATTAGGAAGCTTGTATTCTAGCTTGGCAATGCATTTTAAATAACATCAAAGTGAATGCTAAATGAGCTTGGTGGGTGGGTGGGGGGAAGAAAACACATTGTACTGTATACAAAAAAAAAAAAGACCTGCCTTAATCTTGGCAGCTTTTTGCCTTTGGCTAACATGTTGCTGACCAAAAGCTGTAATTCTCCTCTGAATGTCCACTTTTAATTTATTCAAGTTAATTTATTCAATTTATTAACTTAATTTTCTTAGGCCAGGCTGAACACCTAAAATATGGCTCTTTGGCTGAGGCTTTTTTCATTTGATTAGAAATCTGATGCCTATTTCAGAAACAAGGAAAAATATAAATTACTTTAGTAGAAAAGCCTATATTTAACTTTAAAAGGCAAAGAGGAATGTGCTTTTTAATTATGCTCTCATAAGTCTAATCTTTTGGGGGTTTAGTAGCACATATATAAATATTAAAGGTGGTTACATATAATATTCATCTGATGATATGCACTTCAGTATAACATTAGTATTTGCTGATGTGTTCAATATAGGTTAGCAAGGGCTCTTTTAGTTTACTGAGCGAATGTGGCAGCTTTAGACCTATATCTTTGTAGTACATTCTTTAGTCGTCTTTCTTGTATTGATTCCAGGAGAACTGAATGTATTGGTCATTCGTTATTATGCTAGGCTGTAAAAATCTTACTGAAACTTGCCCAATTATTAGACACTACTTAGGAGGAGCCCATGACCAGGGTAATAGAAATACCTACTGCGTATCTATTCCAAGTAATCTGTGCTGGGCTCAGGCCAGTCTTCTTCCATAAGAAGCATGTCATGTAGTCAAAAACTTTGTGACAACTAGTTATTTTCCATATGTTTTAACTACAGTTGAAGGAGCCAAAGGAATAATCAGAAATAGCAGATTTTTAAGAATATTTTCTATTTATTGGTTGCTGAACTGTTAGAGGATTTGCTGTGTGGTAATTTTACTTACAATAGAAACTTGCTTATTTTAGTGGTTGAGGTGCTTCTGTTGTCTTAAAACCTTTAAAATATAAGACCAAGTTTTTGATTAGTGTCTTAAAAGATTACTGTGGTGCTCAGCAAATTGTCTCAAGTCCTGCAGAAACCCATAAGTTAAGAAAGCAAGCTTTGCAGTCAGGAGACTCATCAGATTTGAGGTGAGTGGAGCTCAGCTGTGTTTGACCCACACCCTCCCAATTTGCTCTGTATTTATACAGAGCTATTTATACAGTAGCTGTTTATACAGGAGTCTTTAAGTCATTGTAAGTATTTTTTCTTGAAAGTTTTAAACGAGAAACAAGGTCGTCTTCAAAATCTTGTTTATCTGTTCAGATGCATTTAGGGAAAGTACTTAATGAGTTGCACATTACTTTGACAACAGGGGCGTGTGTATATATGTGTGTTTCATTCATCTTCAAAGGCAGGATATTAGATTCCAGCAATCTGAAATTTGTATGAATATTTTATATTGAAAATCATGACCATGAGATTATTGTCCTCTAGGATGGATGTATATTGTAGAAGGGTGGTTAGCACGTTAATCAAACATCTGTTTATAGTCAGGGTTAGTCATTTTCAATTATGATTTATAGTAGACCTTCCAAAAGACATTTGAAGTGGCTTACAGTTGTAAAACAGGACAATTACCATTAGTTTTTAAAAATAAAAAATTTCTAGGAGAACAAACTATAGCAACACTAACAGATTCTAAAATTGATTGGTGAATTTAACACCAGGTTTTTCCATGGGCAAAGTCGAAAGATAATACTGGATTATATGTTTTTCTCTCAATAAAACTACTAATGTCCATGAGGAATAAAAATATGTTTTAAGTTTTACAAGAATATGGGAGATCATGTTTTTAAAATACACAGACTTCAACCACGAAGTGTGCTGAAATGCTTCATTTATTAATAGTTTAATCAAAACAGGTTGTTGTAGAATAACAAGCATTTGTCTTTTTTAGTAGAGAGGATAACTGTAAATATAATTTATTTGCTTTTGGTCATCCCTGATTTGAACTGCCTTTAGCCTTACTTTATAATATACAGTCCATGATGCTTCTAGACTTAGGTAAGTGAGAATTTATCTTTTGGGGTACTTAGCTAAGCCTTTTTTTTTTTTTTTGTATAAGCAAATGAGATGATAGGAAGCTATAACTGAGCACAAAATACTTTAGGGACTAGCCACACATAGAGGAAGCTCTTGGAAACGAATACTTTCTCAGATTGGACAGCAGACTTGTGATCAGCCTGTCAGGATGTTTTGGATAAAATTTGAGTTTGCTAGGATAAATGGTTCACAGTCTTAAACAAAATACTGTGAGCCACTGTCTTCTAGAGATGATGGTGGAGGATAATGTGATAAAAGGAAATATGCTTGTGTTTATTTTTGTTGGTATAGGATTAGAAAAATCACATAATTCCTATAAGATGAAGATCCTCCATCGACAAATTGCCATTAATCATCCATAAGACCGATTATTTAAATAACACTAAAGAAACTGTAAAGAACATTGAGGGTGGTTATTCCTTTAAAATTGTTTTTTGACCATCCAAAAGGTTGGCATTAAAAACAAATCAAATTTCAACTTAGATGTGTTTGTGTTATTTTGGGAGTACTAGAGTACTGGAGATTTTAGAAAAGCAAGCATTTTTATTTCCATTTTTAATTTTTATTCATTTAATATTGGTCAATGTATTAACATGAAGGAGTGGGGAAGCTTATTTCTATCAGACCTAAGTTAAAAATTTCAGAAGTCTATAAAAATGGAAAAAACTAAACATCAAAACAGGCAGAAATTGGTAACAGTGGTGGTATCTTAGA